CCGGAGCCGGCCGCATCTCTACCTGCAGCGGATCCGCATTGCCAACCCCACCGAGCGGGTGGCCGCGTTCGAGGCCTCGGCCCCAGCTTCTGCGCCCTCGCTGGGCAGCCGCTTTGCCAGCAGCCTGGAGAAGGTGGAGGAGCGGCAGTTCCTGCTCTCCTCCGGTCGCCTGCTACTGGCCGGGAGCCCCAAGGTGGTGCTTATGGTGGTGGCTGCCAAGAAGCTCGTGAGCCGGGTGCAGGTCGCGCCCAAATCCCACTTTGACGAAACCGTGCTCTCCGTGGTGTACACCTCAGAGCCCATCGAGGTCTCCAGGCTGGAGGAGACCTTCAGCAAGCTGAGGGAGTCGGCCAAGAAAGAGATGCTGGAGGTGATGCAGATGGGGGTGGAAGATCTTTTCCAGGAGCACCAACAGACCTGGTCAGACCTGTTCATTTCAGGTAAGGAAAGCGATGCTCAACTTCCAAAGGGTTGCTTTAGGGGGCAGCTGGAAGCTCGGTGACCTGGTTGCTGTAAGGTCTCCAGAGGCTCCACCCTTCCTGACAGGTTTCTCTCGGGGGCCAGAAGGCATGTTGTGGGATAGTAAAACAGCGTTCCTGGTTCGGAACCCAGCAAACTTTACAAAAGCGGAATATTCCTTACTGCATAAAGGACATGATAGAAGAACATTTCTAATCAAACTCTGCATGTGCCGGCTTTCACGTCTTCAGGAACTTTACTGATTTGTCCAGCATATCAGCTCTAAGTTGGAAATAGAGTTGACCTCTAGTGACAGTATAAAGGACAGATTTCTTCGTGGAAGTTAAGGACTGTCCTACAAGGATGCTTTTTCTTAAAATAAGATTTTCATGGCCTTGCATGAAAGAGTAGCTGCCCAAGTAATGTAGAACTTGCTATTTTATAGCCAGTAGATAGATGTTCCTTTGACAGATCATTCTGGTAGAGTCATGATGACAGCTCCATAAGGCATCTCTATATCAAACTAGCTTTGCCTTTAGTGGGAGCTTGGCGTTCAAACTCCAAGTAGCAGAGAGAGCGTCTAAGAAAATAGAAGGAAACATTTCACTTCAGTGTTTCATAGGCAAAGGTTTCTTAGATGTTATAAAGAATGCCTGTGTATTGAACGACGACATGCACATTTGATCTTTTTTTTCTCCTAGTTACTGTCATATTCGTGTGTGAGCCTCTTGACTCTTGGTTGTTTTCTTCTATTACAGGGGTTGAAATGAGAAAGATCACAGATTCGCATACACCATCCAGTGAGACTGTTAACATGACCCTCTACTATGTGCTGTCAAGCATGCCAGCTCCTCTGCTAGATCCACTCATTAGTGGTGAGGACAGAGAAAAAATGGAAGCCAGCTTGAACTATGCTGACCACTGCTTCAGTGGCCACGCGACCATGCATGCAGAGAACCTGTGGCCAGCAAAGCTGACCAGTGTCGCCCAGATCTTGCAACTCTCAGACCTGTGGAAGCTCACTCTCCAGAAACGGGGATGCAAGGGTCTTGTGGCAGCTGGAGTCCATGGACTTATGCAGGGAATGGTGCTTAGTTTTGGGGGTCTGCAGTTCACAGAAAACCATCTTCAGTTTCAGGCTGACCCCGATGTACTTCATAACAGCTATTCCTTACGTGGGATCCATTACAATAAGGACTTGATTAATCTAGCTGTTCTGCTGGATGCTGAAGGAAAGCCCTTCTTGCACGTGTCTGTGAAATTCCAAGACAAGCCAGTTAGACTATATGCGTGTGAGGCAGGCTGTATGAATGAGCCTGTGGAGCTGACCTCAGAGGCACGAGGTCATACGTTCCCCGTCATGGTGACTCAACCCATCACACCACTGCTTTATATATCAACAGATTTGATCCACTTGCAGGACCTGAGACACACACTCCATCTAAAAGCTATTCTGGCTCATGAGGAACATATGGCCAAGCAATACCCAGGCTTACCCTTCCTGTTCTGGTTCAGCGTGGCCTCCTTAATCACATTGTTTCACTTGTTTCTGTTCAAACTCATCTACAACGAATATTGCGGGCCAGGAGCCAAGCCGCTCTTCAGGAGTAAGGTATAAGGCTGCTGCTTTTGGCTGCTGTCCACTGAGTGTTGTCAACCTGATTTTCTGTCAGCTGTGCCTAGGGAGGTTCTGTCTTGGACTGTGAGGATTTTCAGTCTCTCTTGCAACAAGTGATCTGTGACCTCTTCTTGCAAGAAGTACATTAGGGCAGGGATTGGAGCGGTAGGGCTCACAAACATTAGAAAAGATAAATCCACTGTTGTTAAACAGTTGTAAGGCTGCAGATCAAGGCAGACACAGCTTTTCTGTCCTTTTTCACACGTTGGTGTAGGACATTGCTTGTTTTTAAGCCAACGGTTGCAGCTGTGTTACGAGATTATGTTTCTTGTTACGCAGTACCGGAATGCTTGTGAGAGAGCTGCTATACTTTACTACTGTGTGGGAGACGTGCACGCTTGTCTGCCTGGTTTGAATGTGTGATGTGTCATACAAGAACACATAAATGCAAGCTAGCGTTCTTAGGTCAAGGTGCTGACTTGTTGGGACTACTAGTAAATGTTCATAGATTTACAGACACTGTGCAGTCCTCCATCAAACCACGTTTACCACCATCATTCTGGGAAAGTGCTGAGCTAGTGTTTCTCTCATTCAGACAAAATACATAGCTGTGTTAAGAAAAGTACTGAGTGATTTTTACTGTGAGTTAGAGGTTCTGACTTCAAGCTCTACTGCATCTCACTTTGGTGTAAAGGATTTGAAATTCTTGGTTTGAGTTGCCTTAGAAAACTTAGTTGCTAGTAAAAACTTAGTACAGAATAGACAATAGACAGTGATTTCTGTTCTTAGTACTGGTACTTTCTGGTTGCGTGTTGATATGGAGTGGAAATAAAAGATGAGACTGGATTTGTTGTGTGAGCTAGCCATACAGTTCAGAGAGCTAGCCATATAGTTCAGAGGCATCTCTCCTTAGGGTTGAACAGAATTAAATGTAGCTTGTGTTTAAAAAAAAAAAAAAAAAAGGAAGTAAAAGAGGACATAGTTAAATAGTGCTGTCAGAGGAAAAGTTCTAGCTTTAGATTGCCCTGTTTTTCCAAATTAATAAAAGCAAATTCAATTTTGGATAGCTAAGGCTGGACAGATGGTACTGGACTAAACTTGACAGTACATAAAGGGTGTTTAAAGTCAGTTGGCAATTTCCCTCTCAGCTCACTGGCTCTGTAATATTGAGCACTGGAGATCAGGCCTGATCCCAGTCAGGTCTGAATAACTGTCATCTATTGAAAGAATGAGAGTAGAAGGTGCTTGTGGCTAGACAAACTAACCTAGGAAGAGGTAGGATAGATATGTATATTAAAGATAACTGCAGTTATAAGCCTATGATCACGATCAAAACCTTAGTGCAAAAGGAGGAAGCGGTCAGGAAGTAATTTCAATTATTGTGTATACAGCTGCACCCTGACATGCATCCTGAAATGTGTCCTTGAAATTATAAAATTATGTCCTTTTTTCACTGCTGTCTGTCTGGTTGCCTTTGTCATCTACAAGACTTGCCTTCTGCCTTTTACAGAATGACTTGTTAACCATTACTACAGGTAACTGTCCCCGACACTAGTCTCTGAAACGCCGAGAAGCTTCACAGCTACACACCAGGGCTGACATAACACCTCCTCCTTCTTGACACTGCAAAAAGCCTTGCAGTGGACAGCAAACAAGTCTGTTGCCTCGTCTTAATTGGACCTACTTAAAATGAAGATGATGCAGAACTTGATTCCAGAAACAGGGATGAAGTGGAAGCCAGCTGAAGCTCAAAATCTCTGTAGCAGTAAGCAAGATTAACGGTGTTGAAGTAACACCCCATTTCATTAATTGAATGGGAACATCCCAGTGTCCAAGTGAACTTAGTCCTGCTTTCAGCCTCCATTTGCACAAGACATCTGACAATTTTGCAGCTGAGAACAAGGACCTTTTGAAAGCAACAATCCTTTTGTGCCTTGTTAAGAGAGGAATCTGAGACTTGGAAGGTGTGGTTATTCAAGAGTTTATCCCAGAAGCTTCTGTAATAGATGTTTCCTTTTCCTTGTAAGCTGTTAATTCCCTAAGAGTAATCCATTTGGTGAAAATACTTGAAGATATACCAAGTCCTTTGATATTTTGATTTGTTTTTTAATTTTACGGGAAAATAAAGAATGATGGTTCCCTTCAGAGAGTTAACTTAACTAGAAAACTTCAGTGTAACCTCCTTTCTGGTATACATTTTTTTAATTTATTGCTTGGGGGGGAGGGGGAGGATGTTAATAATTTTGCCTCCACTTCAGTAACAAGTCAGTCAATTGAACTGTAGATATCTAAGTGCTGGTAACAGGTTTTTCAGCCTTTATGATTGTAGAGTGCAAAACCAATTTAATGAAATTGTTTTCTGGATTTACACTTGGAAACGCTGATCTGCAGGTTTCCTGTTCTAAGCATATTGAGACTTTGTGCATTGATTTGTTTTGGCTATGGGGGGGAGACATCCCACTTTCTAGTGATTTAAAGATTGTTTGGTTTTAAAATACCAAAGCTGTTGTTTCTAAATAAATATCTTTCAGTCTAATCTGATCACCAGAGTGTGGTTGTATTTTCTTTTTTCTTTTTTTTTTTTTTTGTCTGCATTCTCTCCTCCCCTTGCTCTCCACCCAGTTAAAACAAGCAGCGCCTTATGCTACATCTGTGGCCAATATTGACTACAAAAGTGCTTGGATGAAAAGGAAATACAGTGTGGAAAATAATACATAAATGGGTCTAAGCTGGGAACAGACAATTTGGAAGGCACAATAAGAGACTGAAACACACAGGGTGGTGCTAATCTCCATTTCCCTGGCTCTGTGTAACCTTGTTCTATCTTGAGGCATGCAGGCCAAGCTTTAGTTTTAATACACAGAAACAAACTCGGGGCACAATCAAGTAGCAGATTTAATGGCCATCGAGCAAGTAATGAATTTGGCACATTTGGTGCTCCCAGTGAAAAGCTAGGGCAGGATTTAACTTTGAATTTTTAAATAGGTTACTGCCTAGTTTCAGATGAAAAACCTCCCTCAGAAAAGTAGGTCTAGCATAGTTACTACCCTAAAAGGGACTAGACTAAGGATAGTGAAGCAATGGAGTACCTTATAAATTGTACAATAAGTACACTGTGTATTGAAAGAGATATTAGCTATCTATCTTGAGATGCAGGCCAAGCTTTAGTTTTAATACACAGAAACAAACTCGGGGCACAATCAAGTAGCAGATTTAATGGCCATCGAGCAAGTAATGAATTTGGCACATTTGGTGCTCCCAGTGAAAAGCTAGGGCAGGATTTAACTTTGAATTTTTAAATAGGTTACTGCCTAGTTTCAGATGAAAAACCTCCCTCAGAAAAGTAGGTCTAGCATAGTTACTACCCTAAAAGGGACTAGACTAAGGATAGTGAAGCAATGGAGTACCTTATAAATTGTACAATAAGTACACTGTGTATTGAAAGAGATATTAGCTATTAACGCTTTAACAGAACGTACCAGAAGTTCCTGCTGTTTCTTACTGAAGTTCCATGAGCTGCTCAGTTTCTGTGAAACATCTGGCACGAAGATGATAAGAGCTTCTAGGGAGCTGTTTCCAAGCCACGATGGTATCAGCTGGAGGCTGAGCCTTTTGATGTTCACTTGCAGAACTGCCAACAGTATGATGCCCGCTGAGTCCAAGAAAGATACTTCAGCCTATTTAGACTAGACCTGAAAAAGACGGATAAGCAATTGTTACATAAAGCAGGAGGAGTGGAACAAAACAAAACAAAGCAAAAAGCTTTGAGAGTGTTTTACATTAAAAATATGATGATTCTTAAGAGCCTTCCCCCCATATAATAAAAGAACTGTTTCAGGATTCCTTTACAAAGAAGAAAGGGAAAAAGAAAGAATAGGGTTTCTCTACAGTGTGCAAGATAGCAGAAGGCTATTTGTGAAATGATTGCAGAAATGCTTAAAAAACTAAACAAAATTCCATGTTTACAAGCACACCGATAAAACAGGAAAGTTGAAACACTAACTGATCATCCAAAATTTATACTTAATTTTTAGTTGGTATTCAGTGAAAATGATAGTGGCATGGAAGTTAAACCGAAAAGCATAGTATGTTGTTTAGCTTGTAAATTCAGACATTAAGAAGAGAGCCAACTAATTAATGAAAAAAATTTTTAGAATCTCAATTCTGCACTCAGTTAATCCTGATTTATGCTTTTGTCAGATAATAAATACAAGATGCCAGAACAGAGTTTGGTTGATTCCATTTGAAATTCAGAATGCAGCTTTCTCAAGTGCTATTGTTTGGGTAGGATAATACATTCTTGAGAAGCAGACAAAACAGCAAAGCATTATATACTTCTGCCTTCCACATGTGTGCTCCAGGCATCTTTCATCCAAATCAGTACCTACTGCTGAATGGAAGCTATGAAAATCAGGGATCTTGCTGCTTGTTAATACTGACGTTAAACAATAGATTTCAGCTTTTCTGAAACCTCTAGTTTGGTCTGTATGTACAAGGCAACTCTCATTACAAAACTGGCATTATGATATTTGTTTCCATTCTAATAAGTTTGCTCCCTTTGCATGACCTGGCTTATGGGATAGAGATGTTTGTTTTTTAAATAACCAGTAACAGTTTTTCAGGTGAAGGGTAGGTGGATGGAAACATGTCAGAGGATGGAAAATTCCCGTAGTAGAAGAAAAAAAGGAAGAAATAGACACAAGGGTAAGTGTTGATATCAAGTCACTGATCTCAAATGTCCAGTAATTAATTAGGACACTTTCTTTTGTGGCAGCAGCTTTGTAGTGGTCTAAATGCCTGCTCTTGTCTGGTTTGTCCTATTGGTGAAAAAGGTTTAACCTTTTTCATTAACAAGCTCACACTGCATAATACCACGGGTCAGCATGCTGATTTGGGGTGTAAAAATGCTCATTTGCAATGCTACAGGAACCCTATTATCTTCCAGGGATGTGCTACTGATCTAACAATTAAAGGTAAATAGGAAAGAAATTAAGTCTGGCTCACCACGCTACACCAGTGTTTCTCCGTCACCACGGACAGCTGGTTCTTTGTATTGCTTGAAACATCTTCCACTTCAAAGTGATTACAGTTTGTTTTATTGAAGAAGTATGGCATGCTAAAACACATGCAACTTGATCTAGAAAAGAAGATACAGGTTTTCATGTGTATGAAATGAGAGCATAGGCATATGAGATGCGGCATAGGCAGTTAATGAAAAAGTTCTCTCAAAACAGTAACTAGGTGCTGTGCTATTCCGTTCTTATTACAGGGGCACGATTAGCATTACTGCTCTCAGCCTTTAGCAAATCCAAAGTTATTTTACTTAGCTTGAATACACTGAAGTACAGTTAATCCACATCAAATTGTTGCATTGGCTAAGAGCTGCATCTCAGCTGACACATGAGAATTTGTTTTAAGCCAACTTGATTTGATTATCTGTCAGAAAAATGAAACCGTTCAAACAGGCTTTATATAACATTGGTCAGTTTTGACCGATGGCTGTATCTTCACTTGTATCACATTAAATCACAGCCTATATTTGTACCTTGCAATGTTCTGTACAAAAACAGTCTGTATTTTAAAAAAATCAACCTCTCTTAGAGACTTTTTTTTTAAACCTCCTACTTTTAAAACACACATCCTATTTTGTATGTCTTCTAGACTTTGGCTGCGGGATTCCTGCCCACCCACCCACTGTATCTAGAGTTGTTGGAGGGGAAGACGCAAGACTTTACAGCTGGCCCTGGCAGGTTAGTCATTTTTGAGCTTTCCCTGGAACAGTTAGGGTTGTGCTACCCTCACACAACGTGGCTGAACAAAACCAGGTCCTATATTACATTTGATGCATCTTGCCTGTCATGTCTTAGGTTTTGAATATTACATTCTGATCACTCCCAAAGTTTCCAATCTTTTTAAGAAAGCTCCGAATGTGCCACCTCTTGCTGGTTATGCAGGCTTTCATGTTCTTTCAGTAGTCTTGGGGACCATCCCGTATTTAAGCAAGATGACTGTGAAATTCAGCGGAGCATACAATGCCTACGGGAGCATAGTTGTACATGGAGTTAAAAAATACATTTCTGCAGCAAATGAAATGCTCTATTTAGGTCAGACTTAGTGAGAGCTTTGGAAGAAACAACATTAAAAAAAAAAAAAGAAGCTTTTGGATGATAGGGAAGGAGGAAAACCTTTTCTGTGGCCAGGAGTTGGAAACTTGTTGCTTAAAAGCCTCCCACCATCTTCCAGCAGTAAGTTGTGTTCTGGGTGCAGGAAGAAAGTGCAACAATGAAAAATCAGTAAGCAAAAATCTGAGCCTTACTTGCTATGTTGATCCTAGGCCTCCATCAATACAGTTCAAATGGCAAATGGTATCACACCTGTGGAGGAACCCTCATTGCAACCAACTGGGTGATGACAGCTGCACACTGCATCAGGTAAATAATGGAGTTAAAGTCTGTACGCAGGAAGTAGTGCATGACCAGAGACAGATGAAGCAAAACTGTATTAATGCCAGTTCTCCCTTTCCCAATTAAGAGCTCCGAGTTTCACATCCTATCTTTTGATTATAACTAATAGGTCAGAAGAATGATACCTTTTAATTTTCTTAAAATAAAAGTAGAGGGGAAAAAATGCCTCATACAATTACCTGAATTATATACTCTTCATTTTCTGTAAATAACTACAAACTTCATTATATTTTCAAGTTGCTATTAAAATTCAGCTGCGTTGCCTGTTTCTATAATATATGTGGCAGTGAGATCCATAGATTAACTAATGAATCCACTCTCTGAAGAAATAATCACAAATGCTTTGAATATACCAGTCATTTTCAGTAAGCTCTTCGTATTATGGGGCAGTATAACAAAGAAATGATCAGGTACAGCTATGCCCTTTCATCATCAAAACTGTTTCCACAAAGACAACCCTATTTTGGTTTGGTAGCATATGTCCTTGAATATGTAACATACAGTTCTTGGTTATTGTAACACTAAGTTGTAGAAAATGCCATAATATGAAACAAGAAGGATTGGCTGCATGTCATTGTTATAAATCCTACATATTATACCTATCACATAGCTGTTTATCAGTGAAGCTGTTTATTGCTGTCAAAAAAGCAGTCCAAATTGTTTACTTCACTGAAGAATACGAGCTGAATCCTGCAAAGGTTAGAGGCATCTTGAGTTTGTTAATGAAGCCTTAAGCAGGAGTTACAGGAAGGCTTGGAGATGGAATGATTATTAAGCCTAGCACACGATGCTTTCTCCTTAGCAAATCAGTCAGACGTTGGTTCAGCTCCAGACAAATGATGCATGTGATGTGAGATCTTAAGGATATTCGTACTGAATATCTCAGGTGGCAAAGATGCAGATGCCTAAGCAGCAAACCAGCAGCTGCATAACTGAGTGTTAGTCATTTTCTTGCCCAGTTCTTCTAGGAAATATCAAGCACTTCTTGGAAAATACAACCTAGCAGCTGTGGAAGAAGGATCAATTGCACTTCCTCCAGAAAAAAAAAATCATTGTCAATGAGAACTGGGATCCACAGAATGTTGCAAATGGGTAAGTTGGTGGCAAGTATTTTTTCAGTTATTTGATGCAGAGCAAAAATCAAACTGCCTGAATCCCACCCACCCTGAGTTGTGGCAGCTAAATGCATAAATGTTTAGAGCCTCCTGTTACAGCTCACAGTGGTACTTCTAAATGTTTGCTCATAGATGAGAGTTGAGTCTCCAGTTTGTACCTTTCCCCCTCAACATAAAGAACTTTCAATATTAATTGCTTATTGATTAATTGTGTTTTCAGATGCCATTTTGCATGTTCATGCTTGGGTGGGAAGCTGTTCTATGCAATGATTTATTTCATAGAGTGGAAGGGAATGAATTCATTTACACAACACTCTTTGAAGCCCTCCTACAAACGGCAAAAACAGAGTATTATTGATCAATGGTATTAGTATCTTTGCTGCTGAAGGACTCCTATGTCCTGCTGCAGGCTAAGGGTATTAGCAAAGAAATCCCCTCAGTTTCCAGGTCCTTGGAGTTAGTCCTAACACATGCTTGGTTTTGCTGAAAAGAACCTATAAAAGGCAATTTCCAGAAAGCTGCCAGCAGGAAAGTGGACAGTTCTGCCCCGGTGGGATGGGGGAGAGAATGAGAAGAGTAAAAGTGAGAAAACTTGTGGGTTGAGATAAGAACAGTTTAATAATTTGAAATAGAATAAAGTAAAATAGGAATAATAATAAAAGAATACACAAAGCAAGTGATGCACAATGCAATTGCTCACCACTCGCTGACCGATGCCCAGCCAGTCCCCGAGCAGCGGCCCCCCCGGCCAGCTTTCCCCAGTTTCTATACTGGGCATGATGTCACATGGTATGGAATATCCCTTTGGCCAGTTTGGGTGAGCTGTCCTGGCTGTGCCCCCTCCCAGCTTCTTGTGCACCTCCAGCCTTCTCAGTCGGTAGAGCATGGGAAGCTGCAAAGTCCTTGGCTAGTGTAAGCACTGCTCAGCAACAACTAAAACATCGGTGTGTTATCAACATTGTTCTCATCCTAAATCCAAAACACAGCACTGTACCAGCTACTAGGAAGAAAATTAACTCTATCCCAGCCAAAACCAGGGCAAGGGAATAGTCTTCCAGTCCATGGATTTCCCCATTGCTTTGAGGGTGGAGGAATCTTTACTTCTTATGTACTAGCCTCCTTGCTCCCGTGCATCTCTTTTGAATAGGCCAAGTGCTGTACAACTGCTGAGTATTCATGCTACTGTGTCTTAATCTATTTGCAAACCTCTTCACCCCTTCCCTTTCTCTTCCCCACTCTCAAATGTGTGCATATGACCACAGGTATGACATTGCTTTGATCAAACTCACTGAACACGACACCTTAAGTGACCACATTAAGCTGGCCTGCCTCCTCCCTGCACAAAGCATCCTATCACCCAGCGCTGCCTGCTATGTGACAGGATGAGGAAGACTGCAGAGTAAGTACCTGGACATTTGCAAAATTGTGGAGCAAAATCTTTCAGTATTGCCTTTTCCTTTGAGATTGATTGGAAAAAGCCTGTTGATGGTGCTCAAGATCCCCTCAACCTCAGTGTAGTGAGGTAGTTTATCAGGCCCCGCTTCACTCACACAGTATGATTTTTCCCTGCCTTTCAAGTTTATTTTGCTTGTCATGGGGCTAGTAATGCACTAGAGGGCCCTGTACTAAGCTTTTAGAAGCCATTGTAACACAAATGTTAACAGTGTGCAGACTGGTGAATTTGCTAATCCTAACATACCCCGCTGAATAACTGAAAAGACACATAAGGGAATAGATGTAAAGTGAAGAAAATCTCAGAGGCTTCAGCAGAAATGTCAGCTCGGCTCAAGAGGCAATTCCTAGAGTGATAAGTAAATTGCAAACTCCTGAACAAAAAGCAGCCCTTTATTTCTCTAACAATGAGACATTTTTAAATGGAATCCAAATTATTAGTACGTTAAGGCTTTTTTTTTTTTTTAAATATATAAAAGAATGGAGCTAAGGAATGGATTATACAGCTTCTCCTTTAACGCAGCCCCTATGGAGTTTCTTACCTGGAGGGATAACACCCAGATCCTGAGAGAAACTTAACAATGCAGTTTTGTTGTTTCTTCAGTGCCAGCTGGTACCATGACCCTTTTGTTTCTATTCCCTCCCAGCAAATGGAGCTCTTCCAGAGGACCTGCAGCAAGGCCTTTTGCTGGTGGTGGATTATGCAACTTGTTCCAAGCCTAGCTGGTGGGGACGCACAGTGAAACCCACCACGGTTTGCGCTGGTGGGGATGGAGTCACCTCCAGTTGTAATGTGAGTCTAGAGAACACCGCTCTTGGGCTTGGTTTCAGACACAAACATGTCTGATGGGAAAGAAAGCTTAAAAAAAAAAAAAAGAGGAGGAGCTATTCACACTACGACTGCCATTAACTGTGTCCCCCCTTCCTCCCAGGGGGACTCCGGTGGCCCGCTGAACTGCCAAGGTGCTGCTGGCAGGTGGGAAGTGCATGGTATCATCAGCTTTGGCTCTGCTTTTGGCTGCAACTATTATCACAAGCCTTCTGTCTTCACTTGGGTCTCTGCTTACAATAGCTGGAACCAGCAGGTAAGGTTCTAGGTATTGCTGCTAGAGAATAGACACTTAGCTATTTCTGAGGTTCTCTCTGGTTGAGATTTCTGCCACCTACTCAGGGAGCTGTATCACTTTTGATTCAAATGCTACCTTACATACAAGTAACCTCTGTAGAGAAGCCCTTACCAGTGCAAAAGCAGTCTCTGCAGCAAAAATAAAGTATCCTCTTCTTAAATAGTTATCCAAATTATTTTCACTTTTAATTAAGTCTTTATATTTAGGAATGCATTCTTCTTTTATACTGGAGCTATACTTACAGTCATTAAAGATTTTACTGGTATGACTTCAGAAGTGATTACTCAAATTTGTATTCATCAATAACACTGACAGTTGCAATTGCATCCCAGAAGGCAGTGCACGCTGCTCAAGTCTGGAACATCAATTGTTTTTTAATTTAATATAAACTTTAATCTAAAAAGTGACTGAGAAGCAAAAATCTTATTTTAGTTATTTAAATCCTGCATCTTGGATGCAACATATACTATTCACAAATTCCTGGGTCTCATGATCTGATTTTTCACTTGTTTTACATTTTTGCAGGTTATGGCAACCAACTAATCCAAAGAAAACTAGATGATAGATGCCAAGAAGGAAAACAGTTTGAATAGTCATAATCATGACACCTTTGATCACAAAGAGCTGGGAAATTACGCTTTTAACAACAGAAGTATTATACCTAACCATACTGCAATAAACTATTTTTCACAAGATGAAAGAAAAACATGTGTCCCTGTCACTTCTTCCTGTGTATTGTCAGGACCAGCGCCTGTATTTAGTGATAATGCTGGAGACCTCTTACAGCCTTTCCCCTGCCTTGGGCTGGAGCTTGCTACCCTCACCTGGGGGAAGATGCGAGCCTGCTGTGAAGAGGCTGGGCAGTAGGAAGAGTTCGAGAGCCACAGGAACAGCTCCAGGGGGTAGGGGGTGAGAAAGCGAGGCACTGGCAGGGCTGAAGGCAGCAGGCAGGCAGCTGTCAGGACCCCTGAGTCTGCGAGCGGGACTCACCAGAGCAAGCAGCGGCAATGCCCAGCGGGAAGGCAGCACGGGTGCAAGCAGGTCCATGCAGGTGAGTGTGGGAGCGCTGCAAAATGCTTTTACAGTGAGGTTTTTAACACCCTGAGATCTTGGGACTTAGCAAGGGGAAGGATAAAATCCTGCAGCAAGTGCCAGCAGCGTCTCTGCAGACCTATCTCCTTCATGTCCCCATTGCTTGTTTTTAAGTCATTCAAATGCCAGGTGAAGACCTCTGAACTATCGCTGTCGGCTGACACACAGACACAAATAAGGATTTTTTGCAGAGCACAAGCAGAATCACCACCTTTTAGCCTGGTACTACATTAAAGCCCCTATTTATATTTCTTTCATTGTACTAAAAGGTAGGTAGTATAAAATCAAGGTGGATTTTTGTTGTGTTTTTCTTCTCCCTCCTGACACATATTTTGGCGGATTTAAAAGTAAAACGATTGATGAAAAACCAAGGACAAGCGACTCAAAGGTAAGCAGTAGATAGAGTAAGGAAAAGACTGGAAGTTCGTTGCGAGAACAGAAATGCATCTGAGTTCAGAGAAAAATTTTTCTAGGTTTGCGGTTCCTTTCAGTCAGATATTTTGCAGTTGTTACCTTTGGATTGACAATAAATAAATAAACAAACATAAATTGTATTAAATAAATAAGAGAAAACATGGCTGGTTTTTATTTTTTGATGGCTGTTTATCATCTTTGGGGACTGTACTTTTATTACTTTTCTTCTACTTTACAACCATTGACCACCATTGTGCTGCGAAGAGCCCAGCAGGATACTTGTTCTGCCTACTGTCAGGCTCTGCTGAGAAATAGCAGGCTTTATTGGATTTTTATTTACCTTATTAAAAATGTAATTTCACCTATCTGAAAGAGCAGGGGATCTGAGGAGGGCTTTTTTCAATCACCTCTACTATGTTGAGGGGGGGAAAAAGAAAAAAAGACAGAGCCGAACGGACTGATCAGCAACCCAGTCCCCTGGTTTGTTCTTTATCAGTGAAGATACGGGTTGCCCAGTTATCCAAGAGTCACCAGCTTCAGCATAATGTCCCGAGTTGTTTTCATGAGTATCATTAATGTGAAATTGTAAATGATTGATTAATAGTTCTAAAATGAAAATCGTTAGAGGTTACTTTTCTGTATGGAGCATGGATGTCAATTCTGTGCAGCACGAAAGAGGACAGAAAAGGTAATCATGAAGCTCAAACAGTAAAAATTGGGTATGTATATGCTTCTGTAAAAACTGAAACAAGACTGAAATTTTATTCATTTTCCTTTTGAAATATTTAGACAATATTGTGGAAATATCTGAGCTCATTTGAACATATCAACACAAATTATTAATCATCTGGAAATTCCCATTAAGAACAAATGCTAAAAGTTTGATTAAAAAAATTCAACAGTTCTAGTTTGTGATCACTGAAATAAGTAACCCATCTTTTCATGGGCTTCTTTAAGATTTGGATAGAAGTACCACAGAGAATAAAACCTACAGCAAATGATTTTATCAGTCTTAATACTCACAGAAAAAGTGTTATGATTTCATTCATATGTTTTTGCAACTCTGCGTGTGTCATGGAAACGCTCTCTTTACTACACCTTTTCTTTTAAAATAAAATGTCAGGTGGAACAAAGTATAATAAAATATGTCTTTCAATAACATTCAGCTAATGCATGATCCCTGTACTTAGTTTCAGAATGCATGTGAATTGTTAAATATCACTACTAGCTCCAGTTACGTTTTCAGGAGCTGCAAGAAACACCCCAGGGATCAGACATCCCCACTTTTTTTTTTTTCCTTCCCCTTTTCCTTTTTTTAGATGTTGTCCCCCCTCCAATGCTGGTGGTAGAAAAACAGTTCGAAGGATTTTGACAGCATGCACGGTCTCCCTCTGCAGCCTCCTTGGAGCCATTTCTTTTGATTTGAGCAACAACTTGGAAATATGGAGAAACACAGGGAAAGCCCTTCAGGAACTTGCCTCCTGTGAAAACCTTTGGGCTGTTCGCTTCATCTATCTCCTGCAGGAAGAAAGGCACAGCTGGCTGTTCCCAGCAGCAGACAAGAGGAAGAGATCATTTCATGCTCAGCTATTGGGGAATTTAAACTCCTTTTGTAAGGCAAGTGAAGCAGAACTGTATTGTGAGAATTGCCAATGCAAGAAGGAGAAAATCTCCATTTGTAGATTTTACATCATTGCCATGAGACAAAAATTAAATAGCACAGGGGATACTGAAGCCAGCCAAGTGCTATCCAGAGTGATCTCTGAACTGCTGGAGCATTTTAGTAGTCCCCATGAAGACCTCAAAGCTATGAGATACAATCCTGACTGGGCAGACATAGTAGCTTTTAAACTCATCCTTCAAATAAGAGAAGCCATGCTTAAAGCTCATTTAATGCCAGCATCTACAAGCTTTCAAACAACATTGCATCAATTTTTTGCCATTCTGAACTATGCTATCTTCTCATCAGAGAGTGTACATAAGTGCTGGATGGATAATGTCAATCTATCACTTCATTTCACCCACTATGAAGGAATGTCTTTTTTCATCCCATTCCTGGGCTCAGATGAATTTGTGTCCATTGAAGCCTTGGTAAAGGGACTGCATTATGTACAGAGCTGTCTACTGCAGAAGGGACAGGAAAAGCTCGTCAAGAAATCTAAAGAAATCCTGTCCACAATGAGCCTTAAGATTGGTCTGTTCGTGATAGCCTGCCTCATTTACCCCATAATCCTGATGTCCTTCAAGCAAATGACAGATTGGATACACAATTATGCCAGGAACCTCAAGGAAAAGACAGAGGACTTGAAAAGGGAGAGGCGGCTAGCTGAGGACCTCTTACACCAGATGTTGCCAAAATCTGTGGCCAAGCAGCTAAGGAAATGCCAAAAAGTTGAGGCAGAAAACTATGATCAGGTTAGCAAACAGAAAGGATGCTGTCACCAAGGACAGAAAAGTATTCACCTAAAAAAGCACCTACCTTGCCACCATTTTGAGGAACCTGGTTTTGCACCCATAGTTGAGTGTGGATGGAAATCCAAATATTCATGATGGGTTTTGGAAAGAGCTGTGCAATGTGCCATGAAGCACTTAGGCTGATGGGGAAGGAAGAACAGCTGAAATTTCCAGAAGCGTAGCTTTAGATGGCAAAGATTCTATATTGGCAAGTTGTCGTCTTTGGGTTTAAGAGCCTACTCATGAGAGCCAGCCAGCATCATTAGATCATGAGTACATAAGAGCAAGAACCTAGTTTCCTCCTTGTAAAATGGGAAGAATCATGAAAAAACAACATAGGACAAATCCTGTCTGTTCTTGTCAGTATGATGCCATAAACATAACTGAAAGGAGAGCGTGGGACTTAGAGAAGGATGAGAGGGACGGATGATCTTGTAGCCTCAAGTGTGCAACTGTAACAAAGCCTGTCGATTTAAAAACAAGGGCAGAGTTTGGCCAGGCCCCCATTATTTGCAGCTCTGCCTCACAGCATGCACGCTGCTGTCAAATGCTGAATTTAGCAGCTGTACTGCATAGCCCACAGCCAAAATCCTCATGCTAAAGTAATTGCAATTCTATTCACTCTTTTTCCCCTGGATGCTCCGTTACTTTCAGCTGTGAAACACAATAATGTTTGCATTTAATTTGTAGGTGTCATTATCGAAACAGCAACCTGTAATTGCACAATTAATTATAATTCATAATAGTCATGACATCAAAAGTAGCTGAACCAAGGCAGGGAGTGAAAAGGTGGCTCTTCTTGATTAATTGGTATTACCAAGGACAAATAAAAGAACAATTTTAGTTTAAACACTGACAAAGTTCAGGCAGCACAGAGAAGAAACACTTAATTCTTTGCCAACAGCTATAACACACATTTTCCTTCCTCAATTCAGTTATTATGGTTTCTATTCTTTCTTCTATAAATTTAATTTTTTTTAAAGTGAATTTCTCAATTACTTGATCATAACAAAGATAAACATAATTTGAAGAGAAATAAAATCCAGTTAATATTTCCTAATTCAACAAGAGCAGAGACAGCAGTTGTGTTTTTATTTCACGGTTTGTTCAGATACCTAGTTTTGATCTCTACCACAGTTTAAATACCTTTAAAAGAAAAATCAGGCCCTATTTCAATAAGAAGTTTGTTGATCACTGCTTGCAAGATTCAAAGCATTTGACTTTCAGTCTCCCATCTAGCACAAGGTATTCAGAGAAGCACAGATAATAAACTTTGGAGATAAACATAATTTTATCTGTCAAAGTAATAGAGGACAATTCAGAACCAGAGCTTGTTAATTTAGGATTGTATCTAGTCAGTTCTGCAACACTGGTTCTACGCGCAGCCTGTGCCTTAGGCTGTTCTGCTCAGAATTTCACAAATCCCCAAACTCTTCAAAGGCTCTGCCACTGTTGCCTGGAGACCTTAGCTTCACACTTTCCTTCTCCCTGTGACAGGTGACTATCTTTTTCTCAGACATCGTGGGGTTCACAAGCATTGCTGCCTCCTGTACTCCCTTGCAAGTTGTTGAGATGCTCAACAATCTGTACGTCTGCTTTGACAGCAGGATTGAGTCTTACGATGTTTACAAGGTGAG